AGATCTCCGTGTACCAGGAAATCGTGACGAGTTTCCGTTCTCGCTGCCAAGTCGCCTCTACAGAGTTATTTTCCCCAGTTGTCATTGTCCCGTCCGCGAAGATTCAGTTCTCCAGTTTGGGGCGAAAACGTATCGTCACAATTGTGTGCTGAGACTGAAACTTTTCACCTCGAGCAAAGCTTCGTCGCACGGCCCAAACAAACAAGACTAGCAAGTGAGCTTTTTGTACATCTCTGTGTTAAAACACATGAAAGGACTCTAAAGCATACTTCACTCTGATTGGGCAGAAAAACAAAGATTTTCTGGCGCCAATGAGATGCCAGAACAACTGCGACCGTTTGGAACTAGTCTTGTAAGACAATGTCCCCAGGGGCTCAGCCACCCTGACTTGAAATCGACTCACAGCCCCTAGGTCTCCGAGGAGGACTGTTACTGTATCCGTCTAAACAAAAGATACTTGAAAAAGACAACTGCGAAATGCAGATTTTTTCACAAAAAGGCGTGACATGCCGGGTAAATTATTCAGAATTCGTTCGCTAGGACAACTGTTATTGTAATCCGTCTAAACAAAAGATGCTTGAAAAAGACAACTGCGAAATGCAGATTTTTCACAAAAAGGCTTAGTAGGGCATTACAGCTTGACATATTGAATTGTGTTTTCTACCGACGTTAATAAAGCCGACCCTTGATTGGAAGATTATTTCTCTAATTTTATCGTGTACTGTTGCAAGTTTAGCTTTTTGATAGCTCTTCTTAAATAAATAAAGCCTTGTAGGATGTGCTAGAATTTATTTAAAATCAACAAAAGTAACTTTAATCCGGCGTAACGAGTAAAATGTTTCCGATAAATTTAGCGATGGTAACAAATTTTTGACAGCACACGATTTTATCTTGCAAAAATAAAACATATTTTTTGAATACCAAATATTAAGCCACGAATATTCCTAGTTACGTAAATAATACAAAGAATGAATATAGTTTAAGGTTTTTACGGCTGCTTACCCGTTTCGGAAAACTTTTCCATTTTGGCATGAAGCTTATCCGAGGCATTTTCTATTATCGGCACAATCTGTTTCAGTTTATTGGCGGTAAAGGTAGGAGTTAAAGTCGTTCTTAAGCGCTTCCACGTCTTTCCCTCAGCGACGGACAATCCCGAGTTCAGAGGTGGTCTGAGTTTGATGAAAGTCGGTCGATTTGGGAACTTGTGGAAATCCTTGACCAAAATTTGCTTGACAATTTCGGGATCGGTGACTACAATAATCGGTGAGCGACCAAAGCATGACTTGTATACTCGTCCGTACTTGTAGAAGTAGTTAAGGAACATCTTGTGAATGCCGCCATATTTGAAAATATCGAGGAGATTACCGATCCAGGGCCACGGTTTTGGACCCGGGAGTGGAGAACCGCCAAGAATCGAGTTATATCGGCGCAAACCTTGCCAATAGATGAGCACTAAAAAACCAAAGATTAACGCCAACCATGTGTAAGTGTCGATGTTATGCACATACTGGAGGACGGAATTCATCATTGGGGGTGTTGCCTTCTGTTGTCCAGACGAAAACGCCACTGTTGGAACTAAAATACGGTTATATTTATAATGCGCAACGATAATACGTGACAAATTCTTGGTTTTCACCCACGTGACTTTTGTCTTGACGACGGTTGCTACAAATGCGCTTGTGGTAAGGTGTGAGTGAGAAAGTGGTAACGGTTCTTTGTGTAGTTTTCGGCTGTGGCAGCAGAAGTGATCGGGACAAAGGGATTGGATTTTATCGAATACCATCAGTTATTAAAAATAAGTCTTCCTTCGAAGAAAATTGACAACAGAGAGGAGAAGAAAGTAGATAAAAGCGATAAGCCGCGGCAGGTAAAGATAGACCAGCACGGACTCCCCATGTGGCTTTCGTGGTCGCGTCGTATTACGGTCTTCAAATTATATCTTTTGCTCTCACAAGAATGTCTTAAAGAGATTTTCCCTTTTTATAAAAGATGATCGGAGGTTTTGTAAAATTTGTTTTCAGCAAGGGCTGATTGTGTATCAGACTCCACTGTTCCATCAAATATTTATTTTAAATTTTTAACTGCCCACAGGCGGCCCAAGCTCCAGCTGTGAGATGATCATCTTGCGCAATAACAGTTATGGCAGAATTATAAGAGTTTGTATGGGAATATTTACGACCGCTTTAAGGAATAAAAAATACGTCAAATTCTCAATAAAAATACCTTACCTTCCTTCCGCCATAACTGTTGCTGCGCAAGATGATCATCTCACAGCTGGAGCTTGGGCTGCCTGTGAACTGCCGGGTGGTACGTTGTGACGAAAGGCAATAAACGCTCGTGACCTTTCGGCTTTTGTGTATGTTTAAAGGCCGATTGTCAAGAGGCAAAGCTGACCCCTGACAGACACCTTTCTATGATGTTTTCTGGGTACCCTCTTGCTTCGAGGCTTTGTTTGAATTTCAAACGGCGGCCCACTTCAAATGTTTTTTTCCAAAGAGTTAGTTCTAGGCAATCTTATCGCTTGCCTTTAATGAACCATA